AGGAATGATTTCTCTATAGCCTACTTTGAGGAAGCATAGCAAATATACCTGAACTGGTGGGGAATCTAAAGTAAACCTGAAAACGTAACTTCTAACTACGTTATATCTTCTTTATAGATTTTGTATGTTCCTGACCCAGACTACATTTCTAGTGTGGACAGCTCCCCCTCTCTAAGTCCTATAAGTCCCCTATCACCTACATCTTCCGAAGCAGAGCTTGACAAGGCTACAGTAAATGTAGGTATACCTCTTGTCCTTGGAATTAATTTTCCCTTACAAGATAAATGTTACAGGTGCTATGCTTTCTTCTTAAACTATCCTTTCATTTTGGGGAGAAAGTACTTTACAACACTTGGAGTTGAAATGTAAAATAGTACCTTTTTAAAATTAAATACAAGCTTTTAATCTTTGTAAATGACAGTTTTCTATGTGAAAACTGATTTGCCGGCAAGTTATTTGTAGCAAAATACTATCCTTGCACACTGACATCTTAAATACTAGTTCCTGTTGCGTTTTCTGTATTTGTTACCTTTCAGAATCAGTTAAAAATTTGTCTCTAATCTTATTGATAGTTTTTGTAGCAATGATACATTGGCCAGAATACTCAAGTAGCTAAAAGGCAAGGGTTCCCTGCTCCCTATAGAGCTGTGGGAGGGGATTCTCTAGTTTCATTTAGCAAAACAAAGTAAAGAAAAAAAAAAAGTCTGTATTAGCCCTTGACTGAGGGGGGGCTGACTCTTCTACTCGTTAGTTCTACATTAGTTCTACATTTGTTGACTTTCAAATAATAAAATTGTGTAGCCATCAAATCAACTCTGTATTTCAACTCAAAAGTAGATTTTTCTTTTTTCTTTTTTTTTTTTTGGCTAGGAGGTAACTTTGTAAAAGCATCTCTTTCCAGGAACACTGGTTTGCTGTCAACAGAATTCCATGGGGAGAGCTCCAACCAGGAAGATGCAGTGTGGGAGCCTGAGCTTCTCTGCAATTTTTGCAATTATGACCTTATTCAAATGTTGCTTAATATGTCACTACTGTTCTTTTCCCAGTTATTATTATCTTATTATCAACTAACAAAATTTTCTTGATAGTACTTCTTGATAGTGCTCAGTCAAGCTGTCAGATCTCTACTCCAGGATTCTGTGTGCTCAGAGTTTAGGAAGGTTTTGAGACTTTAAGCATTTATTTATTTATTTATTTACTTGCATGACTTGGTCCAGAGAAGTTTAAATGTAAAGGTATTGCTTTGTTGCTGAATAGATTCCCAAGCTGTGTTACAAAGGCTGTGATGACCCTTCTACTAAAAATTACTATTTGTTTTTGCTGTTGTACCATTACTCTGACCTAGCATGCCTATTTTGTGAGATGTCTGCTGTCATTTGTACTGAATAATTTCTTTTGTTTTATGGAAAACTGAAGGTGTTGCAGCACAGTAAATAGACTGGTCTGCAAAAATACATTCTTCTATATCTGTCTCAAAATAACTGTAAATGCTAGGATAGGTCTACCCATGTAGCATATGTTGTGAGAAGTTACTCAAGGGAAAATTCTTAGTTTTACTACTAGAAATCCGAGCTCTTCTTACAGTGCGCTAGATTCCATGTCAGAAAATACCTTATTCTTGCTGTTGTGGATTATTTTTTATATGCTTGTTTGCATGTAGTAGATAAGGAGGCTTAATATTATAACCATACATGTAATGTATTTGAAACTTTTTTATTGACTATATGCACATAGCAGAGATAAAAAAACTGGAAGTATAGAAGAAACAAAGTAGATTAAAATACTTTAAAAGTTAAAATTCTCTTGTGCAAAAGGTTGTTTTGTTTAGTTTAGGCAGTTTGATGTTAGTGACAATTTGAGTGTTAAACTTCATTTAACACTGTTGTTGCAGAACTATTTTGTGCATCTCATACATGTCATGGATAGGTACAAGTAGTTCTTAAATGCTTCAGGGAAAGTCAAAGAAATGAGGAACGTGATAATAAAGGGTTTATGGAAGATTATGTTTCTGAGGTCTTTTGAAGTACATGTAAGGAGGGAAGGGATGTTCATAGATACAGTTTGTCAAAAGAAAGCAAAGAATAGAAATCACTTGCGCTTGTCAGTGTGGACTCTGTGTGTGTCTCTGTGTGTGTGTTTGGTTTCTGTTTTTCAAACAGTTTCTCCAGCAACACAAAAAGCACTCAGCTGCTATTTGAGCAGTTAAGGCTGAAGGATTTTGTTCTTCATCATAGCACCTGTTTTCCACATTTCTCTCTTCTCTCTTTACTGATTGCTGTCCTTATGAATGAGAGAAGTGTTATCTAATTTTCTGTATTGGTGTCTGTCATCTTTGACTCTTCTCCGATTTTGACTCCAGATCTGCAGTTTAAATTTAAGCACGTTTCAAGGTAAAGAGGATATATTACTCTACCTGTATAATGTAAAGGGGTCTTCTCTCTGTGCTATGGTCATTGAAATCGATGAGTTGCTAGAAATTGAATAAGATGACTAACCAACATCTGAACCTTGGTTGAGGCAAAAATATAAACTATGATATGCTCTGTTCTTTTGTTTCTGTTCTATCAAACACTGGAGTAGCTTAACACAACCATGTGGCTAAATACAAACCAGCACATGGCTACTACAAGACCTGCATAAACCCTGTGAAGTTTTTTATATGTTGCTACACTTAAGCTAAGATTTCAGTGTGCATTTCAGTAAGTTTGTTAGTGTCAGTGTGTATGTAAGAACTCAGCTTAGACTTTTAAGCCTTTCTTACGTTGCTGGGTTTTGTGAAGGGTTTCTTCATTCAGCAGTCTGATGCGCATAGAAGATCCAATAAGCTTTACTACCTCTAAAAATTAAAATCCGCTTAAAAAATAATATGTAGTGACAAGAGTATCACCATTAAACTTGAAAGTCTGCTAGCAGTATTATTCCTGTTTCTATGTCATGTGGCAATATGAATGAGAAATAGCTGGCTTATTCACAGTGGACTTGGATATCAGCTGAGGACTCTTGCAGCCACTTGCTAGGTTAGATACATCACAAAGGTAACTATGTAATTTTTAGGAGAAAGGCATATATTAGAAGAACAACTCATCTCCGGGAAGCTTGCTTTTTAATTATATCTTAATTAACTTTTTCAGCAAAATTCAGTTCAGTGTTCTGTAAGTTGTTTTGGTGTTTTGTTTCCTTTCGAACTAAAACTAAAAGATGCAGGTGAAAGCTAAAGTATTGCCAGAGAGATGATGAACTGAAAACAATTGTGCATAATGCTCCTGAATGTGATTAAAGGCATTTAGCTGCAATCTATACTAGTGAATAGAACTGAACAGAAAAGCAGAAACCCAAAGGGAACATAGAAGTGCACATTTTTTTATAAGTAGTAATATTTTATTAGTAACTAAAAATAACAATTCTGTATGAAATGGAAGTTTTTAAAGATTGGTTAAACTCCAAAACAGGATTGCTGTGACTATAAAATAGGCTTGGTGCATTCTGTCTACTATATGTGTAGCTTTTATTTGAAAAAAATTTTTTCACTGTCTCTCTGGTCCCTGGTAGGGTTCCATGTTCACTAGTTTGTTGGATGTACTGTTAGACAGCAAGATAGATAACTCTTCCTGGTATCTGTGCAGGAAGGTCATGAAGGAAATCCTTGGAATGTTATATCCAGGTACGTGAAAGACAAAGATAGCTGGAAACAGACAGAGTGAATTTACCAAGGAATTTACCTGACCAAAGTGATTGCTTTCTGTGATGAGATGACTGGCTCAGCATATTAGGGAAGAGCAGCGCATGTTATTTACGTCGACTAGAGCCAGGCCTTTGACACTGTCCCAAAGCAGCCTTGTTATAATACTGGGGAAATGTGAACTGAACAGGTGAACTACGAGATGGACTAGAAAAATGGGCAGGATCTTTGGGCTCAAAGCCATTCAGCATTTGTGTGTGTGGTTGGTCATTTTTTTGTTGTTTGTTTTTCTGTGGTGGTGGACAGTTAGGAATCCTTGAGGGTCCCTATTGGGTCTAATATTGTTTATAATCTGCTCATCAGTGACCTGAATGGTGGGACAGAGGACAGAATGCACTGTGAACGAGCTTGAGGGCGGGGGGCAGCAAAAATTGCAGAAAGTGGTCAACACACTGGAGAGAAGGGCAAGGGCTGCTCATCAGAGGGGCATCAACAGTCTAGAGAGATAAAGTAACAGAAACCTCATCGAGTTCAACAACGGCTAAGACCTGCCTGGGACAGAAGGAGCACCATGTGGCAGTACAGGGTGAGGGCTGACTAGCTACGTAGCAGTTTGGCAGAAAAAGACTAAAGGCTGAGGAGCTGCTGGGGCTAGTGTCCTGGTGGACATGTTGAACAATGTCCACTTGTGATGGTGAAGGCTTACCACATGCCAGGTGGCAGATGAAAGAGGAATACCAACAGGTTAAGGGAAGTGATTATTCTGCTGCCTGGGGGGCTTGTGAAGCTGCATTTGCAGTGTTTTGTCCACTTCTGGCATCTCCAGTACAAGGCAAAGATTGACATGCTGGAGAGAGTCCGGTGGAGAGCCATTAAGATGATCAGAGGACAGAAGCATATGAGGCACAAGGATTGGCCGGGGGAGCTGTGTGTGTTTAGTCTGGAGAAGAAAATACTAATGGACAACCTGCTTTCTGTGTTCTACTATCTAAGAGAGAGATTAGAGGGAGGAGAAGGAGTCAGGGTCTTCAGAGATTCATTGTAAAATGATAGGCAGCAACAGCTGCAGGTTACTGCACAAGAGGTCCTGGTTAAATAGCAGGAAAATATTTTTCATGGTGAGAGTGGTTAAACACTGGAGCAGGTTTCTTGGAAAGACTGTGAAATCTCCAGCCTTGAAGACTTAAAATCAACTGGAAAGGCCATGAGCAACCTGATCTAATGTAGACTTAGACCTACTTTGAACACAGGGTTGGACTAGCTGACCTTCAGAGGGTCTTTCCAACATAAAGTAGTGTATAATATTATGGAAGGATAATGGAAGACATTTAATAGGACTTTTTTTGTTTGAAGTTGGAAAACAATCCTTTCTGCTAAAAACTTCTCAAATTTTGCATGTGACAGTATATTGGATGGTTTCCTTTTGTAAGTTCTGATCATCATTTTGTTATTTCCAGGTTGATTCTGGATATCTTTGCCCACTAGCGTTTCTTATTGTGGGCTGGTTAAGCTGTGGTTGATTAGTTATATACACTGTCAGATCAAAGCAGTCCTTTAAACTACAGTGGATTTGGAACCTATTTTTACATTTGCTTTTATGTCAAAGAGAAAGAACAAAAAATTATGCAACAGAAGATCTCTTACAGTTAATATTGAAAAAGGCAGGTTGCTAAATTCTTTTTTTATGTTCCCTTTTAGGATCCAGATGGAGTCCAACAGAAAGAGTCAGCTGCTTCACCAGCACATGCATGTGTTCGTACTACAAGAGTGGTATCATCCACCTCTGAAGAGGAGGAAGCATTTACAGAGAAATTTCTAAAAATTAATTGCAAGTACATCACCAATGGCAAGGTACTTAAACATTCAGGTTTTACTATTACTATGTGGGATGTAAAAATGAAGTAGATTTAAACCATTAACGTACATTAAAATTTAGTTACTGATAGGTAGATGAATTGGCTTACATATATATGTGTATATATATTCTTTTTTTATTCAGTTATCTTTGGATTACCAGACCACTTGTTTCTTAGATGTGATGCAAGCAGTTAATATGTGATTAACCTGTGACAGCCTTCCCCCATTCTGTTAAGTGATTCTCTTGTGTTGAGGGCATGAGGTTTATTTGTTCCCTGTGTTAGTAACTCTGGTAAGTAGTTCTCTCTACTTAACAGTGGAGAAGAGCATGCCTTAAACTATAAGGAAATACGTAGTTGAGTAGCTTCACTTCCATTTTCTTAAAGCAGAACATTGTGAGCAGAATTAACCTCTAATTCTGTAAGCAAACACTTCTGTATTGGGTATAGTGTGGTAGAAATCGTGAATTATTTTTTTTACTTATTTATTTTATTTTTTATTTTTTCCTTTGAAACAGTAGTTACAGTTCTCTCTGTCATTACACAAACACCTCCAAGTTAGTGGCACTTAAACTAGCTTCCATGCAGCTCAGGTGCGCAAGTCGTGCACAAGTCTTGGACAGATTTTTAGAGATTGAGATCATGTCAAAGACTTTACCCCAGAATGCTGTAGGAAAAAAAAAAATAGTGATCTACCACCCCACAGAAAAATGACTGTTAGATACTTTAATCATGAAAAAGAATACCTTCACTCAACCTGAATAAATGCAAAGAAACTCAAAGTACTTGTAGTACTTCCTCCTTCACCTGAAGTTTGGGTATGTATATACAAATGCTGCACATTCTGTGTTGTTCAGCAATAGGCTTGCAGATAAGTTATGCTAATGATAAACAGATTAATCAGAATCTCCTAAAACTGCGTATTTTTTTTTGCTGGTGGAAAGGATTACAGATCTATGTATGTCTAGACTTGAAGCCTTTTGACAATACGTGATTATTGGCAAAACCTACGTGTTACAAGTTGGTGAGACAAGTACAGGAAAAGCTTAATTTGTTACTTTATTCTACTTTGCAGTTAACTTGCTTCACTCCTTGCATTCTCCCTCTGGGCGACTTTTTTTAGGTTGACCCTAGACGAGTCGTTACTTCTCAGTTTTAAGTGCTCTGATGTGGAGGAATTGAGAACTGTGAGCCTCTGTTAGAAACTGACTATACTGGAAAAATATAGTCTCAGGTTAAAATTTACAGTATATTATTTATGTGCTGTAATTCCTCATAAAAATATTATGGGGAGTGTTCACTGCATCTGTTGTTAACTAGCATCTTTATAGCCTATTTTCTAAGAGCTTTAAGGGGAATTCTGTTTCTAAAGAGTTGTATAATCCACCACAGTATCAGCCCGTACTCGGGGAGGTGGATAGGGAGAGAAATGAATGATAACTTGCTCAGATTTGAGTGCCAGATTTCATAAGTTCAGTGTGTAATTTAGCTTTGTGTCACATGCGGTAGGAATGTCCTCTGGCATATATTCTTATCTCCTTGATACATTTCCTGATAATGCAGGATGAGAAATCTTCAAATGTTTTCTAGAGAAAGCTTAAAAGATTCATCTTCTGTTTCCCACTCTGGAGGTGATTTTGAAGCTTATTGTTAACTTTTATAGGGCTTCAGATGTGAAGTCTCAGTCATCATTGTGACCGATGCTTGCAGACTAAAATCTAGTGAAAGGCTCTTTTTCAAAGTGTTTAATTTCATATATGCGAAAAGGCTTGCATTAAGATAAGACTGTCTCATTTCTCACTTTTCAAGATTGCTTGTTCTCTATGTATTTGAAGTTGGCTTTAGTCACACCTGTGATTTCCTAGACAAGCACACAGGAATTTTCTAGGATGCAGTGGTTGGAACCTGGAAACATTTGCTCTGTGATAATATTTGCTCCCTGTTATCTGGTTATGGCTACTGTTAGAGGCATGATGTGGGGCACAGTTAGAAACAGGGTGGTATGGCTATGCCACTCCCTGGTCGGACAATAAATCGGTGTAACCAGTGTGCTGCGGAGCCACACCTTAACTCACTGTTTATTGCATATGTAGGCATGCCCTTTCTTGCAACCACACTGTTTACCTCTTGTAGAAAAGTATGCTGCTCTGTTTTTTCGTTCTTTGCACTGTTCCTTGCAGGCAGGAAAAGATATCTTAAACAATCTGCTTGACTGAAACTGAAAGTAATAGAGGAGCTTAGAAATTCTTTGTTCTTTATGTTTGTTAGTTTACTTGTCTTGTTTTGAAAATTAGTAGGTAAAGGAAGTTTACTAATACTAAGGCTTAAAACCCAAAACAACCTGGCAATGTGGGCACAAACACATTTTTCACGAAGTGAAAAGGAGGACATTTGTGAGTTTCGAGACTTCTACAAGAAACAAAGAATTAAACTAAATTGTTATCTTTATGATAAAAGCTTCTTAAATCGTAATTACAGGGTTTTGTTCTACCTTGTGTGCTCCAGAACATAATGGAATTATTTAGAAGTAACTTCTGTTTGAAAACTGCTTGTCAAAAGTCTTCTCAAACCTTCTTAAAAGTGTCTTTTACTGAACTGCCTAATCTTAATGTTTGGGCTGACCAATGCCATGAAGTTTGGCTCTAATTCTCTCTTTATCATGACTGTTTGAATTTCTAGCTCAGATATTATGTAGGATTTAGAGCTCACACTTCCTGAGGTTAAAGGAACTTCAATGGAAAGAAGTTAAAACCAATTCAGAGTTTAATATCTTCATGCAGGTGCAATTTAGCCTACTTTCAACATGCACTGTTTTGCTTATCTGGATTAGTATTTTCTGGACCAGCTTTAAGACTGAAGTGATCTGTTTTTAATAACCTAGTGTGTCCACATGGTTTTCAGTAATAAAGTGGCTTAGCATTTCTTCTTGAGGCTGTTAAATCTGAACTTTATCTAAATAGAAATTCAGTTAATGTCTTTAGAATCTGTCTTACGTACACGGAACTTGACTTCTAGAAGTGGTATTTTGGGGGAGTTTTGTTCAAGAACCAGAACTTCCTGTAACAGTATCATGTTGAACTACTTAGTAGCTATATGCAGAGTCTAATTTTTATTTCAGTTTCATTGACAGAGTTTTTGATACTTTTTTTCCTCAACAACTAGTTAGAAGTATGGCTCAAGTCACTGGTTATTTGGTGGAGGATGTCCTAAAAACCTGTTTCTCATGATCCTCTATCAGCAATTGAGCTGCTAATAGCCTGGAAAATTAGGAGATTAGAGCAAAAACTGACAGTATACTGGAGTCATGTAGGAGTTTGTAATGTGCATGCCATTGCCCAGTCTTTTTATGCTCATGCTCTGATTCGCCGATCTGTCTCTAGCTACATTATTGGGACAAACAATTTTTTGAAAATATTTTGAAAATTGAATTTGTATAAAATAAAGTCATAGACCTGTTTCTAAAATGTTCAACAAATGTTTGATTACCATCAAAAGGATTTGTGCTGAAGACAGAAGATGACCATGAAGGAGAAGTTGGGTTGATCTCCCTGTGTTGATATGGGTAGGCACAGGCACAGGAAGAGCTTTACTTAGTAAGTAAGCCCCCATGCTATTCTTTATTCTGAAGAATATATTCATGCGGAAAATATTTTCAGCAGCTCAGCTAGGCCAGAGAGGGAGTTTTGGAACTTTTTCCATACTCCAAAAGCAAGGAACCGAGAAGATTATATGGGGAGCAGACTTTAGGCTATCAGTCTTTGTCAGTGCTTGTAAGATAGCAGGAGAGGTTAAGTTATTGAAAGTAAGTCACTGAAGAACAGAATACTGTAGGTTTGGGTTTTTTCCTGGCATCAGTGTTGTTACCCATTTCTAGGTATTTTGTAGAACAACTGTGACATCTGCTGCCATAGTGCATAAATGTGTATGAGTAACCAGAAAAGTCTGTTCAGAACCTAGAATGCAGGATACTAAAATGCTCAAGAGTTCATTACTGGCTTACTCTGAGACAATTGTTTTGAAGTATATGTATTGTAGGAAAGCTGACATAGAAGTCTGTCTGATCTATGAAGGCAAACTAATGAGGGAATGAAGTTTCAGATACTCTCCTTTAAAGAGCATTACAAACAAGTTAGAAGGTAGTAAAGACAGAAGCTATTTGTCTTACAAAAGAGTCACAGAAATTGTCAGAGAAAGTGGCAGAAACACTGGCATGTCTGAAAAAGAATAATTAAGACTTAGGACCAAACAGTGTTTCTTTATCTGGCTGTTATCAGAGCTTTACCTAACTACCTAGGTTAACATTCAGTGAACAATGATGATAATAATAAAAAAATGACAGAAATATTAATGATGTTTAGTGTATTAAGAACGTTGTTTCGAGCCTGTAAATCTGGGACAACTGTTCTTTTGTAGAGAAGTGCCCTGAAGTGTTCATATAGTAGCTGTGCTCCATAACAAAAAACTTATGAACCAGAAATGTTGCATTGGTCTGCCTCCTGTTGTCTTTTAAATAAATAACAATGAAATAGGTCATCTCTTGTTGGGGGGCTATAAAGCCAGTGTTTTCAAGATATCTGTATAATCTTTCAGCTGCTTATAGTCATTGCAAGTGACTATCAGTCAGACTATCATTGCAAGTTTGATCGGCTTCTTAGTCAGGTGCACATAAAAGCCTGATAGTTCCAAAGGCTTAATTCTCTATTTCTCTGTCAGTGTAATAAAATTTAAATGGAATTACACTTTCAGATTAATTTTTTTATGCAGAGTATTTACCTATGGTGTTGAGGGTGTCTTCTAAGACCAAGATAAGCAAGCTTTTAGGTTCCTAGCTGTGTCTCTGGCTGAGGCTGCAGAGCTGGGCTTTAGAATCTTCATTCTTGTCAAGGACAACTACCTGATGTACAGGTTTGAGGGTTTTCTGCCATCAGATGCGTCATTGTCAGACTGTTCTAGGAAGCTTCCATTTACAACTTGTCTCTTGTTTTCCTTATGTAGTCAATAGTCTTGCACACTTCTTTGAACGTTTGCCTGCAGAGAGATTGTATCTACTGTTCCTCAATGTTTGAGTCTAAACACCACAAAGCACTATACAATTTCTTTAAACACATTCAACTTTGCCCTGGAAACAGACTTTTGTCCTGGATATGATGACATTTCTTTAAGATATTGACAAGCCTGACCTTTGGGTTTTGGGAGGGGTAAGTCCGTGGTTTCTGAATTGTTAAAATTGAAGCTAAAGCGAGGTAACTGAAATGAACCAGTTGCACATCATCTTCTCATCACACACGTTGTTCTAATGTTGTGATTCTCCAGTGTTCAGGTAAGGAAAGTAAAATTGACTTATGAAACTTTTAACTTATTTTGCAATAAAATATTCTTTAATCAATTTTTGACCTGGACTGCCAGCTGAAGCAGTCTTTCAACTTGCTTTTGAGAGCACAGATAAAGCATTGAATTTCGTGTTTGTTTAATGAAACCAGGGACCTTGTTGACATGGGGGATATATCAGCTGTGACAGCTTACTCCTTGATAGAAAAATGTCACCTCCTTTTATTGCCTAAAGTCCTCCGCAGCCTCAAAAGCTTTAGCACTTCCTGTGTACTTAATTTACCAAGGAAGGATCGTTTGTTCATGAAACAGTGAACAAGTGAAGGCAAAATCTTAGTCTGAAATGAAAGAGTTCTCCAGTGAACTTGATTACTGATCGCTTCTACTGAGTAATACATCACCTTAGAAGTTGGTGTGAAACATTTAAATCCTTCGAGTAGAGCAGCCATACAACTTTACCTTTTTTTTTTTTTCTCTCCAGCCTGACTGTTCTGAAAAGTCACATGCAACATGTGAGCAGAGAATAGAATAGAGTGTTTCAGTTGGAAGGGACCTGCAATGATCATCTAGTCCAGCTGCTGTTAAGGCTATGGCCTTGACTTTTGTGGGTCAGATCTGGAGAATATTAACAAAATTCCACTTTCACGCGTGGTCATTAGTGAAAGAGCTCCGATTTAGAAATGATACTGCTTATTGCATTAGGTACTGAATTTATGGAAGTAGTATTTCTTTAAAGAGAAGCAATTGTTCTTATGAATAGACTCATTGACTTTTGCAGTCGTGTTAAATCTGTTTTCTAGACTACAGTGGATATAACCAAATGTAAACTTCTGTTGACAGTCATCCTCTTGGAGTTCTTTTTTGCACCTTGAAAGTCTTTCCGCAATACAGTGCTGGGAAGGAAATACCACTGACAGTTTTATTTCAGTGTCTTAAATGCCTTAGAATAATGTAAATATGTTCTACTGACTTTAAAGTCCTTAGCATGCACTTTTTAGAGTACAAAGCATATATAAAACCTGACTAGGCACTGAATGACTAAGGGGATTTAAGTACAGATGCATGAGCTGCTTTTGAGACTGTTTTCATTTTTCCATAATAGTGATATCCTTGGTCATTGCTGTAGGCTTAATACTATTTTTGGTTTGTTTTTTATCAATTGTAATTTTTTGCTCACTATATAGCATCTTTGTTTTTCTGCTGTGAAGGTCATCAACCATTGCAGTGCTGGGAATAAATTTCTGGAAATGGGAAGGAATGTAGTTGTATTACATACTGTGCTGATATGTCATCTTAAAAGAAAACCAAAAACCAACAGTTGCCCCCAAATACACAGTGTTTGTAGTCACTGTGAACAGTTCATCAGTGATCTGGGTATTTATTCAATTCCTGATAAGCTTCAGCAGCTCATGAAGCAACTCTTTTATGACTTTGAATGTCTCTCTAAATTTGTGAAGTCCTTAGGATTCAAGATCTAGAACTGAAGGATCACTATCATCCTGCTTAAAACTACGCTTCCTCCAGTTTAATGTTTTAATTTAAACTCTACTGTTCTAATAGTTTAATGAATTTCCTTAGGCAACTGGCGTTGGTGTTCGCCTGTGTTTCTAATGCTTAAAAAAAAAAAAGACTCAACTTATTGTAAATTAGCCTGGTACCTGTATTGTGTAAGAATCCTACAGCTCATAGTATAAGTACCAACTTTCTTTAAATTTTTTCATACTAGAAGTTTAAAATCTGCTTGTATTCATGTACTGCAGCAGTATGATTGTGATTAAGTCTATCCAAAGCTGCGTCTTGATGCAGCTGCATCTTTAAAAATCTTTAATATTTTTAATTTAGTTTTATTCTATGAAGTGTATTTGTCCAGTCTGTCAATAGGTCCATTAAGTTCAAATGGCTTGTTTTGGATACTGCTGTTGCTTTTGTGTAAAGAAAAAGAAGATAAATGACTGGGGTTTTTTTAAGATCTTTCTTTTTTGTTGTTGTTCTTTAATAGTAGAAAGTGAGAAGAATTAAGAGTCAGGTTTTAGACAATGCTTGGAGTTTCTTGCAAAACTAGCAATAAGCCCGGTGATTTTCTGGGAAGGATGTGTCTTTACCTCAGAGGAGCTGCCCAGCCTATCCTTTAGGGTGCAAGGGCTTCCTTTTTTTTTTTTTTTTTTTTTTTCCCCCACTCAACCCAGATATTAAGTAGTTGTGAGGAACAAAGCTGTTTTCTTTTGGGATAATAGGTGACATTAATTTGCTTCCCCAGAAAAGCAGTTATGTTTCTAGATGACTGCGGAAAAAAAAAAGAAAAAAAACAACTGTATGAAGTTGCTTATATAAAGATACATACAAAGATGCTTTAAAAACTAATTAGAAAACACTTTTTTTCCCCACAAAAAAATACAGAATAAGCTGAAATATGAAGGAGAAAATTTACCACTTCTTTTCCCTCTCATTTTAGGGTACAGTCAATGGTGTGCTGCTAGTGACGCCAAATAATATAATGTTTGATCCTCATAAAATGGATCCTCTGGTCCAAGAGAACGGCTGTGAAGAGTATGGCATCATGTGTCCAATGGAAGAAGTGATGTCAGCTGCTCTGTATAAGGAAATTGTGGACAGCAAAATTAAGGATTCATTAACCATGTAAGATAGAATAGTGTTTATAAAGCTTTGAGTAAATATGAACTGTAGCCATATTGCTGACCATACAAAACTAGCAAAACCACGTTTTCTTCTGTTGTTTTCCTTTTTAAGAAGAACATCAAAGATTGGCTTGGAAAGATGAGAAAGCTTGCTTTACTATAAGTTCTCGCATTCTGCATACTATATAGAATAAATCCTCTTCTATATACGTGGATTTAATTTCTTCAAATAGTCTCTTTTAAAAATCCGTGTATAGCAAGAGGTACCACACCACTTCCTCTGCCCCTTGGCCACTGTGAAAACAATAACAGATGTATTTGATTCTTCAGTAGTTTAAAAACTGATGTACAGAATAGAGAAGTCCAACTTAAACAGCTTTAGGGGTAACTCTTCATTGTTTACCATTTTCCACTTCTCAAACTAACTTCACATACCCTCTTGTTGCTTTGATAAATGATTATAAGACTAATTATCTGACATTTACATATATTTTTATGGTGTTAGAAGTATATTTTTTCCCTCTTTGGCTAGGGGCGGAGCTCCATATTTGCCTTTGAGTGTAACCTTGTTTGAGGTGAACAGAGTGAGTTTGGATCGGTGAGCTTTAATTGCTGGTGTTTACCATTTAAAACTGACTTTAAACAACATTATGAAAAATTTTTGTTCCATTCTGTCTGTTGCCTACTTTTTATACTGTTCTTAGAAATAGGATGAATTCTAACATCAAAGCCAAAAAGGATTTAAAAAACAATAATAAAAAAACCCATGCCACCTTTACCTATCGCAGCTCATAAAGCACAAACATTTGCAGACTACGTTGACCATCTAGCTGCAGGACAGTGGACTCCTTTAACCAAGGTAGTTATCTGTATGTATAAGAGAGTAAAGCTGTTTCCCTGATACGTAACTCTAAAAGATGCAACCATTTTAAGTAAGGTATAAAGATACTTGGTAAGTCTGAAAGATGCCCTTTTACAGTTCTTACAGGTAATATGCTAAGCACATCTTTCCTGGTGTTCTTATGTATCTGGACACTCAGAAGAAATAACTTGTCTTGTACCATTTTTAAGTTCAGTTTCAGCAGAGACATGGTAGTAAACTGGTATCTTGGCGTGTTCTTGTTTGCTGTCTGAAGGCATGTGTTTCTGAAAGCGCAACTACTGTATGTATTACTATAGTAATACTTTGGGGGGTTTTGATGTAGAATGAGGATACCTTCAGCATGGTTGCTTTCTGGAAGTTTATTTTCCAGTTTGAATTTTTAAAAGGTGCTCATAGTTCCTACTTCAGTTGATGTATAGAGCAAGTAATGAGATTATGAAAATTAGATTGCTCTTTTTAATCTACCTGTTTGAATTGTAATATTGCAGTTACAAAACAAGTCTTTTTCCTTGTTTAGTTTCTTAATGACTCAATGTTGACTTACAGATTTATGTTCCATGCCTTGTTGATTTTTGTGCTCTTGTAGCACATGCATTTTTGTTTTATAAATGCATATGCAATGAAAAACATCTAATAATGAAAAGTGTGTTCAGAGCTCTGTATGTCCAATATGATTTCTCTTTCTTGTCAACTTCATAAACTATTAAATGGAGCACTAACGTCTAGCATTTTCTTCAGTCTCAGCACTTTTATGCCTTAGCCTCATCAAAATTTGAGGCATGTTTGTAAATTTGGGGGAAAACAAAATTCCAATTTCTTAAGTCTGTAAGCAGAACTGCCAACAGCTACAGCTAAATCTGACAAGACCTGTATGTCTCGAGGTATTTGAGACTTCAATCATGTTTTCCCACTATTTGTTGTTTTCCAAATATTCCACCATTATAATTAACCCTCTTTTCCTCTCCCAGTTTTGCCAACTGTCAAACCTGTTTAAACTTGGAAAAACAATCTGAATATTGAAAATAAGATTATTGATGTAATGGAAACTGATTACAAACCTGACAGATTCTTTAGTTCTTAAAACTGCAGTTTCATGTTGTATGGTTTCTATATATAAGCCACAATCTATGCTGAAACTGGAAAAAAATATATCTGAAAACATACAGATGTGTTACAAATTTCATGTCCAAGAGGACCTATTGCCAGTATAATCCTGAAAAATAAAGGAAATGTTCCAGTCTTCAGGATTTACTACCTATTACTCTAATCTACATGCTTTGAAAGCAAAATTACTACATCAGCACAAGCTTAATATCAGCTTCATGTTAACACTTGGACAGGAGGATGCATGTGCTTTGCAAACATCCTGAATTTTAGTGATATCTCAGTAATGTCAGTAGTGTGACCTAACTGAATAAAAAGTTTTGTAGAAATGTGGAGTGGATTTCTGCTTCTTGAAGATGGGTGATTAAGGTACAAACTTCTTAAAAGCATTTGATGCTAGGTAATAGCAGATGTAATGTGCTTGTGGTAGCAAGGGAATTGGCTTTGAGAACTCTAGTTAAAAGTATGTTTAAAGATAAGAATTTTTTATGTGAAGGCTATGTTCTCCTCAGTTTTTTTGCCAACAGTGGAAAAACTTGAGTCCTGTAGATATAACTAGGCATGTTGAGTCCCCTTGTAGTCCTTCTCTTCTAAAACTCATAGAATTTCTGGTTAGCTTATTTTGAAAGGCAGGTTTGAATAAGGTTATTTCCTTTGGGGAGAATAAGGGGTTTTTTGATTGCTTTTTTCCTTGCACTATTTATCAACATTTGATGTCTGCTTTTTAAATTGTTCTGTTGTACCGAGAAGTTTGGGATTTTTTTTTGCCTAACAGTGGTATCATCAAAGTTAGGTACATGACTGGTGAAGACACTAATTACTCTTAGGTATTTCCAGAATGGTAAGATCTACCTTGATGGTTCCTGTTCTGCATTGACTAGCTTAGATAGTTAAGGTTAGACCAGATGATTTCTGCCATTCGTTTATTACCAGTGAGCTAGGTGTCCACTTCATAATAGGGTGGGACAGATCTATACAATTGTACTGGCCTCTCTGGTGGACAAAGCTTAAAAGATTGTGGAAGATTTCTGCCTTTAGAGATTATGGTTGTGTGTAGCTTTTTGTTGTTTTTCCCCACTTTTTTTTTATTATATTTTTACACTTTAAGCATCGCAATCTTGTTGGTTTCATAGGAGAGCTGCTCCTTGCAGAAGTAATGTCCTGAAGTTGGGAAATCCTATCTATATCATGCTGGCAAAAGGTCTACCATAAGTTTACCACTACAAGAACATATTTTATGCTTGTTTTTATTACTGATGCTCTGGATTAAGGGTTGTTTTTTTTAGTTTGGTTGGAGGTTTTTTGGGTGTTGGTGTTTGGTGGGTTGTTGTTTTTTTTTAAGAGCACCTTTAAATTTTTTCAGTATTAAATAGAACTTAATAAAGAAAAGAGCTTGATGTAAAAGACACCTGCTATAACAATACTTTTATCTGTTCAACAGAGATGTAGAACAGCTGTCTGTAAGGGAACTTTGCCATTCCAAGAAAGCTGCAAAGAGCAATACAGATGAAGTGGATTCCAGGATTCAGGATACAGGCAATGACAGTGCTAGTACTGCCCCAAGGAGCACAGAGGAGTCTCTTTCGGAAGATGTCTTCACAGAATCAGAACTCTCTCCAATACGTGAGGAGCTTGTTTCTTCAGATGAACTTCGACAAGACAAATCTTCTGGAGCATCATCAGAATCCGTCCAAACAATAAACCAGACTAGTGCTGAATGTTTAACAATTATTTCAGACTCAAATGAAGCTGCTAGTGACTTAAAATCCAGTGCTGAAATAGTTGTAAGTGTTAAACAGTTTGGTACCCACAGCTTAGGTTCAGAAAGTGCTGAAATGTCTATAAAGGGGGCACAAGAACCTAGTGAAAATATTACAGATGTCCTCCAGCAGTCTCTGCAAGGATCACATGGTAGTGAAGAGCATGACAAAGAGGGAGAAGTGGGCAATGATCAAGATTCCTCACTAGGAAAAGAACCAGAAGGAGAGAGTAAGACAGGACGGGAATGTCCACATTGTGAAGATACCACAGACTCTCAAAAGAAAGAGGCAACTAGCAAAGGAAAAGTAGTGAGAGAGCGAACTCAAGGCTCAGAGACAGAAGTTGAGGAACTCCGCAAACTCTGGAAGACTCACACTATGCAACAAACGAAGCAACAAAGGGAAAACATGCAACTTGATTCACAAAAAGAAATTAGTCAGAAAACTGTGACTGCAGGAGATGGGCAATTAGAAGGTGAGTCAGTATTTATGGATACAGCGTTAGCTTTCAGATTTACAATGTATCTCCCTCCAGCTCATCAGAATTTTAGTTGTTTTTCATTCTGTAGAGCACATCTCCCCATATATTGCTTATATTTCTCATTGGCTTGAAGATATACTGAAGTTATACACCAGTGGGGAAAATGCTCTGGAAACTGAAAACGTGGATACCTTTGTTACTGTCATTTTTCCTCATTGAAGTGTTATTTATGATCATATTAAAACACAGTATCTTTGTAGGGGAGATTTAAATGAGCCTGTAAAATTACATCCATGATGCATTGGTCACTGTAGAGCTCAAAAATTAAAAATGTTCTTTGGCAATCAGCTAGCTGTTGCTTAAATTTTGATCCCGGTGTACATGTGTATGAATGAATTTCAGGGAATGAATTTAATCTTATTTATAGCATGTCTACCTTGTGGCTAAGGCTTATGGTGTGAGCAACAAACACTGGAGTCTTAACACTGATACTTTCAGAACTTTGTTTCACTTGCATCTTGTCATACTTTCATGCTAACTAGAACAGGGCTAAGCATACAAAAAACACTTTTCAGGACAAATGAGAGCTAGATGGTGAGAAAATAGTGCTATGAATATGGGGAACAACTAGGTTTATATTTCTTGAGTACCTTTACTCTTTTGCATAGATCAGGCCCTAGGATTGTTAGTTGGAAGTTATCTTGGAAGTCTGAAGTTACTCAATTCATATAAAAAAATGCTATATCTTTTTTAAGTAACTTAAAGATGTTTCTGTATATATTTGTTTTTTGCTTTTAAAAAATTTCATACGTCACTTTCTGATGCCTTACTGTTTTACTAATGGAGATAAACTAGTTGTTTTAATTGTGCAATATTTGGGAGGCTAGAAAGCAAATGTATCCATAATGCCTGTCACAAACGAATAGATTACATGTGAAGTGCATTTAAAGGTTACATTGTTTATGTTAATTATTAAAAGTAGAGCTTGTATTGAATAGAGAGGTATAGTCTTCAGTTGACAGAAATTCATCTTACACTTCAGAAACTGATATGATGGTTTTAGGGCAAAGGGGTTCTCCTTCTGTTAAGGAAATAACTTAATTTTGAAACTTGAAGCAGACTTATAGTTGCATCATTCTGTGATAAGTTTGGCTTTTATGCCTTAAATATTAGAGGAAATCCTCTGGCAACAATGTCAACTAGCAGTAGTTGCTGGTTGTGACTTTTGGAAAATGCAAGCACCAAGTGCTCTTTGCCACAATTGCTGCTTTTCTTACAATTGAATATTATTTGTAATTCAGTTGTATTAGATGCTTTAGTTTTGTTGATTTCCCCCCCCCCCCAAAAAAAGATTCTATCATTGAGTCACTCTGCATATTTTTGTGATCATGATGTTATCTGTACAGTCACAGAGTGTGTGTGTGTGTATATATAATCAAAACCAGTGTCTGCATACAGTCAGACAGAGGAGTGCTGACTAGAAACCTTCTGCACATGGTGTTACAGCCTTGCTGAAGGTTGTGGGGATAAAATAGGAAGAAAGAAATTTTTCGGAAAAAAACACAAAACAAACAAACAAAAAACAAAAACAAAAAAGCCAAAAAGCACACAGGTTGCTTTTTGGACTGAAGTAACTGGAACAAATCTCCAACTTCCATTGGAATTATTGTATGTTTCTTATTCTTGCATGTTGTATTAGCGGAATGAAAAAAAAGGTAAATCATGAATTAATGTGTTTCAATCTAGATAGATTTGGTAAAGCTTCTATTGGCTTTGTCTACAGACAGGTTGAAATAGAGCCAAGATAAAAGCATAGATCTGTTGCTTAACTCTTGAAGGTCATCAAAGACTAAATATGACAGGTCAATTAACAGTAGGTCACTAAAAACACTGGGTCATTAAAAAATTGAAAGACTGTGAACACTTTCTAATATCCTATCTATTGGACTAACACTCTGAAGCAGTGATACTACAAGTTTTGTATCATTAAGTTACATAGATAGTCTTTTTATCTCTTGCATATAGCAAGGACTTAGTTGAATTTTTTCTCTTTTGTAGGCGTTTTGAGCATCTAGGTTTTTGGGAACTTCCATTTCTTGATCCTCGCAGAGGTCAAATGTTTCTGAGTTTGGAATTAATGATCTATTTGTTCTGAATGTTGAACAGGTGATGCAATGCAAGTTGATAACTATGAGTATACTAGAATAGCTGAAAGTGTCTCCCTTGAAATTTTTTTTTATTTGGACTGCTCAGGACACTCTTATATTCTCTTCTGTTCTTACAGATGCTTATGTTAACCACTGGACTGAAATAAAAGCTGGATGTAGTTGATACTTTGGAGAAATTGTAATGGTCTATAGTTTTGTGTGTATATAAACAAGCGCAAATCTCATTAAAGATAATGTGTCTGCTGCTTAGCTGGATATTGACAGAGATTGAAGGGAGGGGGGGAAGCATGAGATGCACAATAGCCATTACTGAAATATTTTTGTCTGATTAATTCTGTGTCAAATATACAGCAATATATTGGAGCACACACCAAAAAGCTGCATCTTAAATAGTCCTTTTGAGATTTGGGTGCAGGGCTAAATTGTTTGTTTTCATTCTCTCTACTAGCTGGAAATATAATCTCAGTCCTTTTGCTTTCTTTAAAGTATAGTACAAATCCCACTTCTCTGAGCTCTAGGTCAGAGAAGAAGTTCTAAACTGCTGCTTATGAAGGACCAAAATCCAAAATCCCAAATATCAGATCATTTTAAGAGTACTTCTCTAACATTGCCACAAAGTTCGTGTGACAGTCCTACAAAAGAGTTTTTTGATTTATGTTGGGCTCATTTTGGTTTTGGAGTTGTTTTTATCTGACGATTTACCTTTGAGCTTACCGATTTATGAAATACTTCCAAATCATATATGTTATGACTATTCAACCATACTGTATGTTGCAGGTATAATTCTAAAATTCTGTAACTGAAAATTAGGAGGCGCACATTTAAATATTTACTCAAAAAAAACCCAAACCCTCTTTTATGGAACAATGCTATTTTAAACTTTATGATGAAAATCTGAGAAAACATACAGTGGAGATGTTTACAGATCAAGAAGGTGATCTTTTCTGTGCTTAATGTATCTGTAGTCTGCATAGACACTGAAGCAGAGCTTCTTCTGTAAAAAAAAAGTGAGTGTCCTAGTAAATTGGAACATATCTGTATGTACATGTTAGACCAGAGGTAGGATAAATCCTCTGTTGTCATAGCTGATCATAAGAATTCTTGAACTTATATCCTCCTTCCTTTCTTTAAAACGTCTCTTGTGTCTGAAGCTCATGTTCTAGGATTTGGGCAATTAATCTAGCAAAGAAACAATTTTGAGAAGGCTTCTTCCTTTACCTTGTGCTGACTTGACAATCCAGACCTTGAGGGTAATCATATAATTCTATTAGTTCAATAAAATATACTACTGGAGGGGAAAATCCCATACCACAACATCCAGTATACTTCATCCTGAAGTGGTGTTCATACCTTTGAAGTGTTCAACATAGCTAACAAATTAAAATTCATCTCAGTCTTCTATTAATGAGTTTAGCGGGCATGGTGGCATCGTGTATACCGTTAGACTTGATGATCTTTGAGGTCTCTTCCAACCATTATGATTCTATGATTAGTAGTGCCAGAACTTTTCTTTTTTTAAATGAAAAGTAATTAAAGAACAGCTGTGACATATGTGAATCAGGGCTAAGTACTTATGTAGTGTTGTATATTTTGCATATATATGGAATATCTTTTTAACAGTGGGAGGGTTGTCTGATTCAGTGTTGAGGGGTATGCATTGAGAATACCTTCTGAAATATTTTTCAAGCATGGATGAAAGACTATCGTAATGTGATCTGAGGTTGGGAGCAGAAATAAATGTTTGAATTATTCAAATGTGTTTTACTTTGAAGTTAATTCTGCTGATGCAATTTACGTAACAAAAAAAGGACAGGTAATAATTACTACCTATGTTGCCTCGTCTCCTATTATTTATATATATGTCCTATATATCTGTATTGCCCAATACAAAATTGGCTAATAATTTTGTTGAGCTCTTTTGTACCTTGTGGGTAGCTTACTTTTTCTTTACTAATAGGTTCTTCACTTACGAAAGAAAAAAGGCGACATCGATCTCACAAGTTTCTGCGTCTCAGGGTTGGAAAACCCATGAGAAAAACGTTTGTTTCACAAGCAAGTGCATCAATGCAACAGTACGCACAGAGGGATAAGAAACATGAGTACTGGTTTGCTGTTCCCCAAGAAAGGTAAGAAGGAGCTAGACTGTAAAAATCAACACTTTCTAATAGGTCTTCGAGCTTCTTTTTCTGCGCCATTCAAAATTTTTCAGGGACTGTGTCTATAAAGCAACACAAATAAGGGTCAACAGTGGAGCACGTTGATGATTGGCTTGTACTTAACACTGGAATACTTCATTACCATACTGAAGTTTTACTTATTTACTTGAGTTACTTGTAGGTTCAGCCAGTAATTTCTCATGGTATTAATTTAGGCTTGTGTTTGTAGCAAGTAAATAATGAAAGAAAGATTCCAGTAAATGGTGTCTAGTGAAAGAAGGGAGTTCTGCAACAAAGTTTTTTATTGTCACTATCTGTGTTTCCTGTTACTTGGAAACTTTCAAAAAAATTCTCTCTACTTAGAACTCTGAGTTCAGAAGAGCTAGCTGGGGTTCTTTTGTCTTATCTTTATATATGGAACATAAAATTTTTCCAGGAAGCAATCTAAACATATCTACCAGAAAAATACCTAAATTTGTTGCAGTGATTCAAAGACATGAGATGTCCATGCTCACTCACTGGTAAAGTCTTGAATTCTTAAATGATCTTTACTGCTAGGAAACTGATTTATTTTCGAGTTGAATATGATTATTGGAGATTATTATATCCTTGTCAGAAGGAGGGGGGGAGAAAGGAACAGCAACAAAAAACTATCAGCTATCATCTTGTATAAATACCTACACACAATGATCGAGTCACTTTTCCATCTTTTCTTTTGAGCTGAATGGCATAGAATGTCCAGTTGGGGCACTGCAGTTGAGAACAGATATGGATCAATTGGAGAGAGTCCAGAGGAAAGCAGCAAGACTAATTAATGCCTAGAAAGTGTAACATATAAAGAAAATTAGAAGTAAGTGGGGTTCTTTAATCTAAAGGAGAAAAGATTGCTTACAAACATAAAATCATTTCATACTCCAAAGTTGGCTGCAGCAAGAAAAATAGTCTTTCTTTTCATATTCACTGTGAATGGAGATGTGCAACGGACTGAAATTACGTCAAAATATTTGAGTTTTCCGATAGGGAGAATTGAGTCTATGTTAGCACATCACTAACCTGCTTTTAAACATCACCCCCGCTACCCCTAAGTGGTGGAGATTATGCAACGTCTTGAGACAAATATCTGTCACGCTGATTCCAGTACAGCTAATCCTGTCTGGGCTAGGTGACCTCTTGTGGTTACAGTCAACTCAAATTTTCTTGTTCTGTTCATATCATGTTTAATTCAAAAACGGATAAATGTTTTGCATATGGCAATGATGTCTAGGTCAGCTGATTAAAAAGATTACTGTCTCTTTGTTTTATTTTCTAATGTAACAGAGCAAGTACTTATCTTCAGCATAAAGCAGAATTTATCATCTATTTCAGAAGAAATAGTTCTTAGTTTACAGTCTGTATCTGATGTCCTTGGAAATTAGTCCACCTATGAATGAAGGGTTTCTGTCTAACGGCATGGAGAATTAGTAATCTGTTCTTTAACCATCCAATGTGTGTCGTATGTTTTTTGTACACAAAGTCACATGTGGTGGTAGTGGGGTGTTTGTTTTCTTAACTCAATCTTAACCTTGCTGGGTGCTACTCCTATTATTTATTCTTCAAAATATTTAGTGTCAACCCAGTTATCTTTGTCGCCTCATGGTAAGAAAGAAGAAGTAGGTATCTGACAAACCTGCGATGTTCTTAAACTCAAATGAGCCAGTCTGGGAAGGAGTCTCTTAGTTCCTTAAATTTATTTATGTTGTTAACTGCTATAATTATACACAATTTCAAGTTCTTAAAAAGTTAAAATTTGGATTTTTTTTAATTTTTCTGCTTGTAAGGCTTTTTGAATTGATACCTTCCTCAGTGCATGTATTTCTTGCTGTTCCTGTTCTTCCAGTATACAGTTTTGCAAGGATTTAGT